CGTCCTTACACAGCAAGCGCTTTCCCCACTGAGCCGTCTCCGGCTCTAACCCTTTTCCTTCTTTTTGATGAGTTAGGTGGTATGAAGCCCAGGCCTCTGTGGACATTACTCCATAGTGCCACACCTCAGCCCCCCCCAGGGGACTCTAGACAGGGGCATTGCCACTGAGTCACGCCTTCAGCTTTCCAACACCTCACTTATTTAGACAACATGAGCCCACAGGTAAATGTTTCCTTGATGCCACAGCTAAAAATAAATGGCAGAGAAGGCTCACACCTGTTGTCTCAGTATGTAGGAAGTGGAGGTAAAAGAATGGCTACTAGCCCGAGGCTAGCCTGGGCTACAGAGTGAGACCCTGTCTTTAAAAAAACAAAACCAAAAAACTACAATATAAATTAAGTAGAGTTACTTCTTTCCCACACTAAGCCTGAGATCTGTGGTGTGTGTTTTCTCTGTCTGGTGACCGCTCAGGCAGCTGCTCTGCCTGGGGAGAGATTCCATTTGCATTTTGATCTCATCGTGGTCACAGCTGACAAGTCAGCTAGCAGGCCCTGGCTGTTCCCAGCCTGCTAACAAAGCTTCCCACCTTCAGAACTGACCTCAAGTCAGTAACAAATGGGGAGACTCAGAGCCTCCATCCCCTGCCCCGGAGGTCACATTTCGAATACTCAGTAGCATATGTGGCTGGTGGCTGTGGCATCAGGCAGTGCACTGGGTCTGTGTGAGTCTCGGTGCAATAAAGGCACACGCAGAGGCTGAGCAAATGGGGGTGCACTGTCAGAGAGAAGTGGGAAGTGCTGCAGGCGAGAGGCCACGAGGAGCCTGGTGTGGTAGAGCGTGAGGCATTTGGGAACAGACTGAGCCTGTAGAGCCAGTGGGGAGGAGTCTGCTCAGGCCCTTCAGGGAACTGACCCCTCAAATGAGACTCCACATCTCCTAGCCTCTCTCAAATGCACCAACAAGATGGGGCTGTACCTCAAAACCTAAATTAGGTATTGTGTGGTCAATCAGCTGCTGGGCATAAAAACACCATTTAAAATTATTTGTTTTAAGTTGGGTGTAGTGGCACACGCCTTTAGTCCCAACACTCAGGAGGCAGAGGCAGTCAT